GAGCCCAGGAGTTTGAGGTTGCTGTGAGCTAGGCTGATGCCACGGCACTCACTCTAGCCTGGGCAACAAAAGTGAGACTCTGTCTCAAAAAAAAAGATGATGCCCAGAGGGGAATTCACTGGCTGGGTGTGGTGGCTCACGCCCGTCATCCTAGCTTTCTGAGAGGCTGAGGCGGGAGGATTGCTGCAGCTCTAGGGTGTGACACCAGCCCGAGCACAGTGAGACCCCGTCTCTTATCCCTAGAAACAAGAAACCAAAAAAAGACAAAAAATACACACAAACTAGAGGGGGATTTGCACTGCTGGCAGCATGCAGTGACAGGGCTTGGTGACTGATAAATGAGTTCTCTTAAGGCAGGTAGTGTATGTGGTGGTCCTGACGCCAGAGGAATGACTGACCAGCTCCTCTATCCCCAGTGGAACGCCACAGAGAAGTCCAGGGAGGAATGTGGACATTCCGAATCTAAACAAGAGCAGGCAGAAACTGGAGGCGATCAGCAGGTTGCCAATCAACAGAGCACAGTGGTACCGGGAACCTCAGTAAAGAAGGGGACCAAACGGAAAAGGTCTGCCAAGCATAACGAAGGTAAGAGGTCTACAAATCCTTAAATCTCACTTTCTGGGGCCTAAGAATGGTGAGAAATTTCCATCCTATATTCTGCAAATCCTATACTTCCATCGAAGCACAGCTTAACTTATCCTTTCCTGAAGACTTGCTTTGGTCGCCTTTGCTGTATCCTTTTCTATCTCCAAACTCCCACCACACATTTGGTTCTTTTTTTTTTGAGACAGTCTCACTCTCTTGCCTGGGCTAGAGTGCCACGGCATCAGCCTAGCTCACACCAACCTCAAACTCCTGGGCTCAAGCGATCCTCTTGCCTCAGTCTCTCCAGGGTAGCTGGTACTACAGGCATGTACCACCATGCCCAGCTAATTTTTTCTATTTTCAGTTGTTTGGCTAATTTCTATTTTTAGTAGAGAGGGGGTCCTCGCTCTTGCTTCAGCTGGTCTGGAACTAATGACCTCAAGCAATCCTCCTGCCTGGGCTTCCCAGAGTGCTAGGATTACAGGTGTGAGCCACAACGCCTGGCCTATATTTGGTTCTGGTGATCGTTTTGCCTTCACTCGATGCTTGGAGTTAGGTTCTTTCTTTTTTTTTTTTTTTTAAGACAGTCTCGCTTTGTTGCCCAGGCTAGAGTAGTGCCGTGGGGTCAGTGTACCTCATGGCAACCTCAAACTCCTGGGCTCAAGCAATCCTTCTGCCTCAGCCTCCCAAGTAGCTGGGACTACAGGTATGCACCACCATGCCCAGCTAATTTTTTTCTATATATTAGTTGGCCAATTAATTTCTTTTTTATTTATAGTAGAGACGGGGTCTTGCTCTTGCTCAGGCTGGTTTTGAACTCCTGACCTTGAGCAATCCGCCTGCCTCGGGCTCCCAGAGTGCTAGGATTACAGGCGTGAGCCACCACGCCCGGCCTGAAGTTAGGTTGTTAATGTGCAATGAAACAATGTGGAGACAGCTGTAAGTTGAAGACCCATCTTTGAAACTTCACTTCCTGTTCTAAAAATTAGTGAGGACTATACCTACCTTGATGGAGTGGGGGAAGGGTGTAATTTACATGGAATAATTAGGTAAAATACCTACACTATGCCTGACAAGTAATGTGTTCTCAGTAAACCCTAATGGCAACTAGTGGCATTACATACAGTCTGTCCTTTCTGGAAGTGTGTTCTGGAAGGCTTCACTGAATAGAGACAATGTGTGAGGTGGAGGCAGCAGGAAAAACAGAAACACAGTAGTAGAGCTAAGGAGAAACACCTGCAATGAGACTAGAATGCTGCCCTGACTGGGGTGGGCTGGTAGAATTATGGGTATTAGTAGTTGTCTGTGTAGCACCTGTAATACTAGCACTTTGGGAAGCTGAGGTAGAATTGCTTGAGATCTAGAGTTCTGATGAGACCAGCCTGAGCAGGAGTGAGACCCCTGTCTCTACAAAAAGTAGAAAAATAGAAAAATTAGCTGAGTATGGTGGTATGTGCCTGTAGTCCCATATACTCAGGAAGCTGAGGCAGGGGAATCACCTGAGCCCAGGAGTTTGAGGTTGCAGTGAGCTATGATCATGCCAGTGTACTTTACCCAGGGCAACAGAGAGGGACCCTGTCTCCAGGGGGGAAAAAAATGGAGTTTAGAGGTATTTAGTCCTAGGTTTGGGGGGGGGTTGGACTATAAGAACTAGAAGTGATTATACTTCTGAAATTCTAAAAAGCTACACAAAGTTAATACTAATTGTATTCCTTTCTTCGTCAGAGTCCTGCCCAAAGAAGGCGGCAGAATGCAATGAAGAGCCCAAACCCCGGAAGAAGATACCAATTCCTCCCTTACCTGCCACACTGCCCCCGGTGAATCTGCTTCACCGGGACATTGTACGGGCCTGGTGCCAGCAATTAAAGCTGAGCAGCAAAGGCCAGGTGAGGGCCTGGGCTGGAGACCATGCTGCTGGGATGAAGCATAGGAACCTTAGTTTCCTTATTAACTCACTTTTCTCTCATTTTAGAAATTGGAGGTATATAGACGGTTATGTGAATATGCATATCCAAATCAAAAGGTGAGTCACTTTATTTTAGGAAAATCGGCAGAGTGTAAAAGGTTCAATGTTTATCCTAGTTACCTATTCTAGCATCAAAAAGTGAGTAAAGGAACTGTCTTAGCCTCTCTTCCCCACCACCTCTAGCTCTAAGAAAGAACAATAACCCCTGTCCCCACTTTTCACCAACTCTATGCAAAGAGTAGTAAAAATGAAGTTGCATTTAAAAACATTTTTTGATTGTCAATTATGTGTATATTTATCATGTGTGGCATATAGTTTTGAAACATGTATACATTGTGGGATGGCTAAATTGAGCTAATTAACATGTATTACCTTTTTTTGCCGTGAGAGCACTTAAAATCCACTCTCAGGAATTTTCAAGAATATAGTACATTGTTATTAATGATGGTCACCATGTTGTACAATAGTTCTCTTTAACCTGCTCCACTTATCTAACTACATATCCTTGATCAATCCGACCTCAAATCCCAAAACGACACTTTTCTGGTAGCACAGTAATCTTTATTATTAACTTTTTAATTTAACCTTATTTGCAGGATATTCCTTCCACAGCCAAGGAGGCCAAGATCCGGGTATCATCCAAAAGAAAATCAAATGTAGAGAAGAAGGAAATGTCCCTGAAAAGTTCAGGGCAAAGGCTGTGTTGTGAAGGGACTGATCTTCCTGCAGTATGTCCTCCCCCTGAGGAGGGGTTGCCTGCCCTAGAGTCTGCCTCTCTCCTTGAGGGAGTTAATACAGTTGTGGTGACAACTTCTGCCCCGGAGGCTTTGTTGGCTTCCTGGGCGAGAACTGCAGCCAGGGCTGGGTCATCCGTGGAGGCAGTGGAATCTCCACAGGAGAACTGTG